CCCGCGGACCCCACGGCGGCCTCCCTGCTCCCGCGTCCCCGCCGCCTCCCGCCTCCGCTCTGGCCCTTCGTCTCTCCTTGCTCCCTTGCGTCCCCCAGACCGCCACGGACGGGAGTGGGTGCCAGTCGTCACCTCCCGCGGGCCGACCGAGGCGTGACTGCGCCCTCGCCTTTGTGGCCCCTGGGCTCACTCTTCCCCACGGGACAGAACTCGGGCTCCTGCCCCGGCTCTTAGGACAGGGTCTTTGTGATGAGATGGGTACAGCCCTTTTAGAAGATAGGAAAACAAAGGCGGCACGTAGGGAGAAACACAGGGCAGTGTTGCCCACAACAGAGGGGCTCTCCGTGTTCCCAGAGAAGAGGGTTTTCTTTAAGGAATCCACCAAGCATCATGAGCATGTAACCGACAAAGCTCCTGTTTAGAGATGAAAGGCAATCCTCCCGTCCTTCAGGGGATCTCAATTTTCCTGTCCAGAGGAACCCCCTCTCCCAATTGTTTGCCTTTCTCATCTTCGGCCTTCTCAGGACCTGAGCTGATATCGTACCTGTCTTTGTCACAGCAGAGAATGTCTGCTGGGTGACTGTTTTCTGACATATGTCTTTTGAGTCTCTGACACCACTGGGCTGACAGGTTACCAACAGGCACTGTGGATTATGGTGCAGTGAATTGTTTTATGATCTAGAAAGAAAATGCTGATGACATTAAAATAGCCTTGTATTATCATAGCAGTCGAAATAAGGCTTTTTACAAATATGAGCCAATGGAATTAATCATTTGCTTTTGCTGGGGATTGAACCCAGGGCCTTGTGCCTGCTAGACAAGTCCTCTATCACTGAGCTACACTCCCAGACTATGATGTCTTTAATCATAATTTTATTATACCTCTTGATGGCCATCTGTAATAAGACATAGACCATTTTTTTCTCTTGAAAGAGACATAGCCTCCATTTCTCTTGAAAGTGGCAAAAATTGGCAGTTGATACTCACTTAAACCCAGATAAACATTGAGCAAAGCAACACACCTCAAAAGTTCTCAGCAACTCTCTCCCTCTTGGGTAAATCAAGATTATTTGCTTCACAGTGACCTGTTGACAGACACAGTCCTTTACCTTACCACCCTGCTCCTCAGTTCTGTTTTGGCCCATGGTCATTTCCAAAACTAAGATTTACTTACTCTAAAAGGGGCAGGAATGGACCAGGCAACACACCTTAGTTAACTCACCCTGGGACTTGCTGGAGATAGTTCGGTGAAGACTGTGCATGTTTATTTTTCACAGTTATGTGGACATAAGGAAAACAATCTGGTGCTTCATAAGGAGCTTCTACCAGATACTTCACACGCCAGTGAGATTCCATTACTCAGTAACCCTGAACTCATTCTCATAAATGGATTTTATGTTGACTTCCTGCCCGTACTGGGTCAGAGATCATTATTCTGGGAGGAAGTGCATTGGCTTCTAAAGTGACGTTAGTAGAGGCAAAAAGATCAGCCTTGGGGTTATAGATCTTGCTGACCCATTAAGGGTCAGTAAATTAGTAGACTACTTGAGTTGACACTTCTGATCTCAACTTAATGGGTTGATTAACTTATGGCTGCTGTCTTCATTATGGGCTATTAGCACATTGTTAAACTGGATCTTAGACTTAGGAATTGTTTTTATGTTTACTTTTTGGCTCCCAAGGTTAATCAATATTCATTATGGTTTTACTTTTTTTTTAAACTGAAAGGTTAGTTAGACCCTTCTATAAAAAAATTCAATACATTTATGAGTTGAAGTTGCAAAAGTGTCTGGCTGAGGAATTTACAACATGCACAAGGCTACACATTAAGAGGCAGCATCATAGGAAGGTAACACAGAAACGACACACACGTGTTAAGGGATTCCTCTGGTCACTAGCACCTCTACCCTGGTGCCCTTCTGTGTGCATTTCAGTGAGAGCCACACTAAAGCATGACATCCAGACCTCCACTGATGGCTTGTGGAACTTCTAGATAGGAATAGTCAAAGCCGAGGCTTTGCCTACCAGGACATGTGAATCTTGGGTCCTAGTGAGGAACATTTTTGTGGTCAGCATATCTTAGAAATCAGTCTTTAGACTGCATTATTAAATCCTCAGACTATGTCATCTTTTCCTGGCTTTCTTGAAGTTTGTAGAACATTCAAAGATTGTTGTCATCCTGGTGATTTGGGAATCATCAGTAATCATTCTTTAATCTTGCCAGTTGGCAATTAATATGTTAACAATGCTGGAGAAATGGCTAGAGAAAGTTAAAATTCATCCCCTCAGTCACACAATTAATTAAGAGGTGTGTACACTGATTTGGATGAAACTTCACTGAGCTGAATTGAACTGGTTGGCTGGTAAGGTGTTGAAGAAAACCAAAAGAGCAAACAAAAATACACTCAAACCCAAGAATCACGATGCTTCCATAATGAACTCCTATCAGACACTGGCTCACTACTGATCTTGAGACTCACAGCCAATCCACAGCCCTCCTTTGGGGCCTAGAAAACTGAGTTCCTTCTGAAACCATGCACGCGCCTCTTAACCCATCACATGAATGAGTGGGTACGTTTTTCAAGCTTCTTTAACTTGAAGAGAATTAAGATATTTTTATATGTTTAAAACCAAGACTTAAAAGAATGACCAAAAATGCCAAGGAATGATGCCCCAGACCATGGAAGGGTGCTTATTTGTCAGAGATGATCAGTGACCTGACTGAAGGGCTAAGATGCAGGCAAGACTGTAGGAGAGCAAGGAGGAATAGGATGGTCAGAACCCTAGAGTAGATCATTTTAAACCAGAATGCTTCAGGATGATGCTATCCAAAGGTACGATAGCTGGAAAAAAACCCACTCACAGGGCCAAGTTTCAGAGAAAACACAGTCTTAGTTAAAGCAGAATAAAAATAGCATTAGGTACGTTAAAAACTCCATAGCAAATAAAGTCTGTGCGAGCACCTGCCTTCAAAAGCAGCCACATTTTTAAGTATTAAAAGCCTGTAGCAATAGGTAATCCTCTTGCGTCATCGTCTTTAGGCATTCAGGGATACATGACCCACGGCTGAGGTCTGCCCAGCTCACCAAGCTCTAGGTAAACAGATTATTTTTGGTTATGAAGTGTTGGAGCTCACGCTGGCTTGAAATTCAATCCTTAGTACTTGCTTTCACCTTTATTTCATTTTCTTAAGCCCTGCCCAAATGTGTGTGTACAGCAATACAGCCATTCTACAAATTATCTTGATATTTGGGGATTTGTTTTTCTCTGAGAATCTGGTATCATCTTTTCAAAGGTAGAGGGTATACTCTAAACAGACTCTTTTCTGAAACATCTGCTCACAGCTCACCAGAGATAAGAGCGATGCTTTGTGTTCTGCTCTGCCAGTGACTGAACTGAATCAGTACTCTGTAAGAAGGTTTCAAACTCGTGGTGTGTAAATGTAAAGGAATTATTGAAACTTTGTTGGCAAGAGCTTATTAAGTACATGTATTTTGTGAGAAAAAGACAAACAAAAGCAAGACATTTGGCCTTATCAGATGACAATCTGCAGATGGATTTAAAAATATGATTTTAGCTTAATTAAAAATAAGAATTATTTTTTTAACTAATTGTTGGCTTTGTGGTAAGCTACGTGCTTGAAGGAAGGCTGTGAAAAATAGTATGGACCTACAAAGGCAATGATCTTCCCAGTCTTCAATCCTGCCTTTAGAAGCAGCAGTGTGAACATTGTGGCCAGAGGACAAGACAGGGTCAGGGGGAGCAGCAACTGGCATCACCACAGGCTCCCAGCAGCTCCTCAGAGATGCAGCTCCAGTCAGTTACCACCAGGACACAAGCTCAGAACCAGGAAGAAGGTGAATCAGGACAACAGTATTCAGGAGTTGACATAGAAGTATGGGTATAAGGGCTTTCTTCTTACTCCTGAATGCCTGTAGCTTACATAGAGGCAACAGACTCAACCCTGTGGAAAATCGAGCTCCCTCAGGGGGAATAATGTCTCTGTTGTGTGTGATTCATGGAGAAAGGCAAAACCAGTATGGCTGCAAAGATGAGGTGGACAGGAAAGAAAATTGCAGCAGCTGATCATGTAGCAACCCAAGGAAGCTGTAGACTCACCCTGTACAAGCATCTGTAATACAACACTCTAGGTGCATACAACTGGAAAACAACTTTATGCCCAAATGGAACCATGAACCCAGGATTTCATATTTCTAACAAGGCATCAAAAGTTACTTTAGCATATATAGAATTAACATGTCAAAATTATCATATGAAACCCTTTCTGTGTTGTAAAGATTTGGTGAAGCTTTGAAACTGAAGAAACTACAACCCGTTTGTCCTGGAGTCACCCTTTCCACATGAAAGTCTACATACAGATGTGTTAAAACTGAGCACAAGGAAGCGGTTGGAGTTCGGACAGTGGTGTTCTATTATCTATTGCTTCAGTGTTTTTTACACCAACACATTTCTTTAATGACTTCTTGAGGGTGTTATGTAAAATTTAACACAATCGATTAAATTATAGTAACTCCCTGGCTAACAAAAGAGAAGCAGCAAACATTAAGCTTCTTTACCATTTCATAGTTTGTTGAAGAATGTAACATATATAAAAGAAGCACCTTGAACTTAAGAATATCACACAGTCAAGAGTATATGGAACTCATGTCTTGATCATTTAGATGAACATCTGAAAAAATTAATCTTTTTTCTTTTTATTTATATTTCTCTCAGGTCCCATG